GCAAGACCCTACAAGGCAATCATGCATGGCAGTGTTACTGCACTGAAGACAGGCAGAAAACTGTCCTACTGAAGGTAACACAGCAGGTCACTGCCAGACCTGGAGACAGACCTCTGCTTTCCCACTTGGGAGCATTTGTGATATTTTTTTAACATTCAGACTTCTTTAAACTTATTAAAAAGCCCAGAGCAAACAAACAAAACAAATCTCCACCACCACCCCGTGTGGCTGTGGCCCTGGCTTTGCCATCTAGGTTATCAGTTTAAATTGAACTGAATCCTGGGTGACACCTTAAAAAAACCCACCTTATTCAGATTTCATTAAAGGAAAACTGTTCCATTTATAAAAAGATTCCTTTGTAAAGCCAACAGAACACAGTTTCAGCATGGAAGGCTTTCCCAGAAATAAAGGGAAGCTAAGTATCGAACAGAGGGCTGATTTTCATCCTGTGTTTTGATGCTCATAAAAGTGTTTTACTGCCACGGGTATTTCTTGACAGTGTTTTAAATTACAGACCAGCTCATGCAAAACCAGGAGCCCTTAGTAGTGGGGTGGCCTCTCCTCTGCTTTTATGGAGCGAAAATTTTATTCTCCCTCACAAACGCCGGTGATTTTGATCAAAGCCCTGGCGGGACACCCGCCTCGGCGGCTGAAAGGACAGCAGCATTAAATCAATTCCCTAGGCAACCTCCCAGGCTGGGCTGGGATTGTTAAAATAATGAGTTGTGCACCACTTGATCCCAACCCACCAGCTGATCCCCCTTTTACAGACAATAGGTAGCACAGAACCAGAGAAGCGCCTGCGACCGCTCAGACGGTTCCTCACAAATCGTGCACCTTCAGCTGAAAAAAACTTCACTTTTTTTTCCTGTAACAGCCTACTGGCATTTTTAAGTCTAGAAAAAGCATCCTTCAGAGTTAAAAACAAATTAAAAAAGGAAGTGTTCTCAATCTTATTCCACGGAGCTGCTGTTTGAAGAACCAGGAACGTTTTTAACAGCGAGCACTGCACTCTGCTGCCTCTCACCTCACAAAAACTCTATCTTCTTTCCATATCCCACACTAATTCAGGTGTTTCACTGCAGGGTTGAATCCTGCCTCTCTTTTCAGTATCCTTACCCACAGTTGTTCTTTCCCATTTCAGAACAAACACCTTAAGTTTTCTTTAGTTTCCTTTAAGTTTTGCAACATACAGGCCAGAAGTCCCAAGGACAAGCAAATCAGGAGAGCCCCCTGGAAACAGGCAAACATTGTGCTTTATAACTCAGGAGTTAAAGCACACTTTAAACAAAGAGCCTATGACTGGTCCATCAGATAAGGCTTATATCTTTCTGGCTGGAATTTAATAACACTTCTTCCAGAAACACTTTTCGGTCAGCTGGAGTTGAAGTTCCCAGAATTACAGAGTTGCTTAATTACAACAAAACGTGCATGGAGTTTGATTCCTAGCTCACTGTACTTTCTTTATTTAAAAAAAAATGGTTTATGGAGCAGGTTATTAGCCCCCCAAAAAGGTATTTTTAGGAAAAACTCAATTCAGCGAGAGGTTTGACTCCCCTCAACCCTCACCTACTCCAGAACCTTTCAGGTGGGGACCAAGCACGTTCCCAAAGCACGTTCCCAAAGCAGTTCTGTAGCACTGCTGGCTGATGTCCTCGGAGAGAGGCTCCTGCTGCTCAGGATTGTAGGCTAAGCCTCATTTAACACGGTCTGGCCCCGGTCAGGGCGAACCGAGCGGCTGCAGCTGGCTCTGGTTTCAGCTCATCACCGGCCCAGGTGTGCTCTGGCACAGCCCGGGGGCACAACCGCCCACGGCACATGGCAAACGCCGGGCTGGCCCAGCGGAGGGGGCACAGAGCCCCGGGAGCGGCCGGGAGTTCATCCGCGATGGATCCGACGGAACGAACACCTCGGAGAGAGCCCCGGGCCGGCTGCTGCAGGGGCGAGAGGAGCGGGGCACGCGCGGCCGCCCGGGCCGGAACGGCGGGTTACAAATAAATAAATCAACGAAAAGTTGCACCTTGCAAACCCTCACCTCAACTTGCGGCCGCGAACACCGGGAAAAACCAGCACGAACAGCAAGGGAAAGCCCAGCGGAGGCTCGCAGGGCACAGCCCCGTCCCGCCGCGGGAGCCCCCCGGGGCCGCACCGACGGACGGGGCTCGGGGGGTTCGCAGGGGCTTCAGAGGGGCTCGGGGGGTCCCGCCCCGCGCTCACTCACCGCGGGCCGCCGGGCTGCGCTGGGTCCGGTCACCACCACCGCCACCACCGCCCGTGCCGATCGGAGCACAACCTGCTCCGCCGTTCAAACCCCCGGCGCTGCCGCCGCCCTGCCCGCCCGGCCCGGCCCGGCCCGCCCCCGGGCCCGGAGCGCCGCGAAACCCGGCGCGGGGCCGCGCCCGGAGCGGAGCGGCCGAGACCGGCCC